ATATTAAAAAAACAGACTAGTAGGGCTCCATTGATTATCCTATGTATTTAAAAGTAATTAACTTTGTCATGGAAGATTGAATCAATCAACTAGAACCCAGAACAAATCTGATATATACTCCTCCTGGAATCAAAGTCATTTGCTTGAAAGAACTGGTTACCCCAAAATGAATTTGCCTTAAAGGAGGAGCTATCTTAGAAGCAGATGGAGAGATGAAAGGCTAGAGCTGAGCCAAGAAGTGGCAGGCCCAGGGCAACCAATGAAAAGAGAAAGAGATATTACAACTGAGCTGCAGCAGAGAAGGAAAATACTGAGGAGGGTTATCCACTCTACAAGCATCTCAAAGTGGAAGACCTAAGTGAGCAGCACAAGTGTACCACCTGCTCAAGAACTCAAGTAAATTGTGAGGAAAAAGTCTTCTCTTTCCTCATGTTCTTCTCCTAGGACTTGTCTATCATTTTGATTGATTCAAGGAGGAATACAGATATAATCTGTAGCGTTTACCTAAACATTCCTAGTTACCACTGCTTCAACCCTTAATATAGTAGGGGTTAACTAGAGAGAAATATGAATGTAAATTTAGACAAAGTCCAATCTCTGCCTAAATATTAGGAAATATACTAACTGGAGGCTCAAAATATGTGTGATTGAACACACAACTTTTCATCAAAAGAAAATTATTAAAAATGGAAAAAGAAAAACTACGTGAACTTTTGGGGACATTATACTCTTTAAAATGAGGTAATTATTGTAGGGAATGCTTGAATGATTGATTGATTGATTGATTGATTGAACATACCTAGAGCAATCACCTGAATGCAACTTCCTTCTCATTAGGGTCAAATAAAACAAAGATCTAAAATAGCATGTCAACCTTATGTGCTAGCAAGATACTTCATCAAAACCTCCACAGCAGAGGAAAAAAATACACAAACTGAGTAGGTGGATGTTTCCCCAAAAAAACAGAGTTTTTATTGCATAAAGATTTTTTTCCCATCTGTACTTTCCCATCTGTTTTGTAGTTAGGTTATGAAAAAATGGCCACATCAATTTATTAAATAGTATCCTTATGAGGTGTAAAAACCTGGCAGAGCAACAAAAGGTATCTTTATAAAGTTTATAAATTGTTTCTCCTAATTTTGAGGCCAAGGATAAAATGTTACTGTTAGAAGAGGCTTCTGTGATCATCCAATCAGGCACTTTTCATTTTACAAATGAGGAAACTGTGATTCAAACAGGTTAAGAGACTTGCCCATGACCATTTATCTCATTAGTGTGAGACCTGTTCCTAGAACCCAGGTATCCCAATTCCTAACCTGGTGTTCTTTCCGTTTTCCATATTGCATCTACCTCTCTCATTTGTTTTTCTGTCAGTTACAAACTTCATTTAGATCTGAAATATTCTTATCTAAATTCTAAACATTGTTGCCTCTAAGATCCACTTTTGAGCATCAAGATCTCATTCTAGGAACATTTGTGTTAGAAATAGACCATATGTATGTATGTATGTATGTATGTATGTATGTATGTATGTGTGTATGTATACACACACACACACATATCTTTATGCTGTTTGGTTTGGTTTTCTCTGTAGCCCCAGTACTTAGCAATTCCTAGCACACATATGGAGCTTAATAAATGCTTGTTGACTTGACTTATCATGTGAAAAAAGCCATACACACAAAGGCCCATTACAGCATTGTGGATTTTTAGATGATTTTAAACAGAAGAATATTTTAAAATAAAAGTTGCATTTTAAACTTTGTGTATCTTTATCCAAACTTTTTTTTTTAGCTTCAGTTCTGAGATCTCACAGAATAGGTTTTAGCCTGAAGCAAACTGTTTATAACCAACATTAAAACCTCTTGAGATACATCACTAACAACTACCCTAGAAACATTATGGCTGTGACAAAAATGACTGCTGTCATTTTGAGGAAAAAAGATTTCCACAGGGAGTAATCATCACCAACATTACCATTATGGTCATCTACATCCCCATCAGAGCACTTTCAGGTTCCCCTGGGTGTCATTAGGTTATACTTGTCTATCTTACTTTTTGATGCCTCGAAAAGAAATACATCCTGAAATAAAATGGCCATGTACCTTCTGTGAGTCCCTATGGTCCTTATTTCTTTTGCCTGTCCACAGTTTGACCAATTAGACCATCTTTTGCTTTTCTCTGTATTCCCAGCCCTTAGCATAGAGCCTAACACTTAAAAAATATTTAATGACTAACAGACTCTAATTTATCAAATTATTGCAAGTTTATTATTGAATTATTCTGTTTTCAAAGTCCATTTTCACTACTCAATAAAATGGGCAATTTTCAGACACTGAACTATATTTTCAAATATCATTCTGACTTTGCCAGGCAGCTAAGTAGTACAGTAGAGAGAGTGCTAAATGAGGGGTAAGGAGACACTCCTAGTCTGAGACCCAGGGCAAGTCACTTAACATCTCTGTGCCTTGTTTTCTTTATCTGTAAATAAAGATAATAACTAACATCGTAAATAACATTTTAGTTGATTTGAAAAAGGAAATAATTTTAAAATACAACTTGTAATTTAAACTTTCTGGATCTTTATCTTAATTGTTATTATTATGTAGTGATAACTGAAAGCTAGGATAACCAGGCTCCCAGGGTTGTTGTGAGTATTAAATAAGATAGCATATGTATCATTGCAAACTTTAAAGTACTATATAAGTGCTAGGTATTATAATTACTATTTCTTAGAGAATGAATTACAGTTTATAGTAAATATACACTCGTAAACACTTCATTTGAGCAGGCTCCAAGTAATCAATGCTTTTTAAATGAAAAATAGGGTTTTGTTCCCTCCATATTTTATTCAGGTGAAATACCTTTCAGAAGATTATCTGAAGTTGAATATCCAACTTATTTTGCAGTTCTAATAATGAATAATAAACAGTCACTCAAAACTTTTATTAACGATTGAATGTTCAAATTCAAATTCATTTATAACTGCAATGGATCTATTTATTCTCAGGAATGTAGATAAGAATCATAGAATAATGTTTATTACTTGAGCCATCATAATTTTTTCTCCCAGAATGAACCATTTCCATTATTTCCATTTTTCTACAGAAAACTCCCATTTTTCTATTTTTTTCTACTCTTATATCTGGATCTGAAATGAGGTTTTTTCACTAACTGTGCTGATAGACTTCTTACACACACATCATACCACACTATCAGATGTTCATCACTTCTCACTTAGGCAGGTGCTCATTTTATGAAACAAGTGTGGAAAAAATATCCTTTGTTTGAATTCTTCACAATAGTAAATAATATTGTAATGAGGCCAATAAATCATGTTAACTAGGGCCACCAGCAAGGGCTAATATTTTTTTTTCTAATAACATACCTTTGATCGCAATGTATTTTGATTTCCTAATCTTAGAAATGGCTATTCATGCTGCATTGCAGTTTTTACCATATGATTCCAATGTTTTTGTTTATTTCAAAGCACCTAGGCAAGAAAGTATACCACCCTTTCTGGGAACATATAACCGAGGCTTTTTTTTTTTAATTCATACAAGACAGAATGAAAGATAAAAGTATTAGAGTTTCTTTTTAAACTCTGAATTATCAAAGAAATATTTAAAATCCATTCACATACCACACTGATGCTTGTTTCCTAGACACAAGCATTATCAGATATAGGTGAATTCTAATGATTTTTAAGCTGCCACAAAAATTTCCTAGAATGGCCTGTTGTGGAAGGAGACAGCTAGACCTAATTTTAAATCAATTGATTGATTTACTTCTTACCAAAAAAAGGGGGGGAGGGGCATCCTAGGAATATAATCTTTTATTTGGACTATCTCTTTTGAAGTTGATTTGGGGGAAAGAGAATGTTAATTCCAACAGCATCTCCATCTGAGGAAGGTGCACATTTATCTCTTGTGACAACAGAAAGCAATCTGCATAATATAGGACCCAGTTCCACATACAGGAAACCCTACAGGGAACTCAGATGGTGACAGGAGATGAATACCAATAGCCCATGTCACAATGTTCACTATGATGAGATAGTACAGCTTGCAGTTCATTTTCCTTTGACAGGATTTCCCAGATTCGCCGAGAAAACATCTCCTATTCTGTAGGGAACCCCATAGATACTCTCCCTGCTCAAGGTTTTCCCCAGTTGTTGACATTCAGTAAAAAGGTTTGGGGTTGGAGCTTTCTTAAGAATATAAAATCTGGAAAGACTATCACATGCCAAAATAAATAAATAAATAAAGGTACTTTCCTTTAACCAAGAGTTTAGTCTGTTCAATTTTCTCTCAAGGGATGACAGAAACAAAAGATTCTGTTATGTTTTTGTGGCTTGAAATACACAAGAGAAATTTTACAGTCTAATGAAGTATGAATACAACATATATTGAATAAAAATAAATTCTTCAATACTAAAAATCCCAGGGGGAAAAAAAAGCTTATGCTGGCATAAAAGTACTCAAATCAAAAGAAATCACTATTATATAATAGTCTTGTTTACTGTTGTATTATGTACTTTGACTTATCAGAATTTGGTTGTAATATCTTAAAGTATTTAACAAGCTGTCTAATTTGCCACAGAAAAACATTTTCTTTTTTAGCATTTACCAGCATTCTCTGCATAGTTTCATTTGCATGCCAGTGCATACAATTTCCTATGACAAGAACATTTCTAAATGAAAGATAACATATTAATAATATCATCTGTTCTCAAATTGCTCTATTTGGGTGCAAGCTAGCTCATTTATTTTTTAATATAGCAAATGCAGAGCCTCAAAAGACACTAATAAACTAAAATTTAACCATCTTACCGGAAAGATAATTTTACCTGTTGTTAATAAAATAGCTGCTTAGAGGATCACAATGAAGACCAAACCCTGCAGGGAAATTGACGTGAATCCAACTCCATAGAGCTTTGTCAGTATTTCTTATTTTACATAGAAGGTATGAGATCTCAGTATCCATGGTGTGCTACTTACTGATGTGTAGAGGTACCCTTCTCCATTCATGGCAATATACAACCCTGTCTTTACTCCCTGCATGGCAACAACGCGAAGTCCCACTGGTATGAGGTTGAATAATGCTGTAAAGATAAATGGGATCTGTCATGGACGGCAGGGAAAAGAAAAACATTGCAATAACTAGGCATTTCTTTGTAAAAATCAAGACACCACACTTGTCACAGACTTCACAGAACATTTGTTTTTGTTATTATTAGCAGTATTCTTTTTATTGCTATCATTAAGACAGTATTAGAATCAGCACCATTATCATTTAAATCACTGGTTATCATCACCATTTTAAATCAAGATAGTATTTCTCCAGTAAAGTTAGCACTTAAGCTTCAGCTTGTAAATCTAATTAGCAATCATTCCTACTAGAGTTGGCTAATAGCACAATTGTTGGGATAACAAACACAAACAGGGCTGCAACAGGGAAAGTCACATCTCACTTTTTTAACACCACTTTGTACTCAATGAAAACAACAACTGTGAACAATCTCTCGGAAAACAGAAAAAGAAAGCAATTAAAACTAAGTGATTAGTCTTCTACTGCACAATAGAGAAGGTGTGATTTGTCTTTGAAATGTAGGACAGTACATATTTTTAAAAAGAAAAAGATAATTCCTGCAACTAATTTGCCTTTCCAAGGGAATTTCTGCACTGAGGTTTTTCCTATACCAGATAAAATCACTGGGCCAAAGCAATTTGCTTTTGCAGAACTAATCATATACCTGAACTAATGACACCTAGCCATTTAAAATAACCAGAAGGTTAAATATTAATTCCATTTTACTGACTTGAAAACTGGGGGATTCTTTTTTTAATTTTTTTTCTTTGTCGGTGAGGAAAAAAGCACCCAGTACTTTATTTACCTCAGGCACCAGGCACACCAGCCATTCAGAAGTGGTCTAGTATCCTCCTTAGAATCCTGAAGCCTTAAGGTATGTGAACCAATTTCATACTAACATGTATTTTCAAAGTGAGTATTGTAACATCTGTGTGTGACCCTGTGTGTGGGTAGTTAGAGTTGGAGGTTAGCACAGTGAAGATAAGGTCATATCAATCTTTGGAGAGGGGAATAATAAATTTAATCTTAATATGTAAAGGAATAACCTGAATAAGGGCAAATTATACAAATTTGCATAAATCAAATGCATTAAAACAATTGTGACTTTCTTACATGTTAGCTATACCACTACAGCCTCAGACACCAGATCTTATCACCTGCCTTACTATTGTCTTACTTCAGAGACCCAGGGCTTTCCATGTGACCTGACAATGAACCCAAAAGATCCCTGGCCCTTGCCATTTGGCCTGCAGTTACTCTCTTAGGTGCATCAGGCCCTTGCAGCTGATCCCTCTGATATCTATGATCTCCTCCAGTTAGACCGTGATCTTCTTGAAGGGAAGGACAGCCTCACTTTTCTGTTTGTACCCCCAGAACTCATCATAGCACATGGCAAATAGTTAATACATAATTCACACTTTATCGTTAATTTATTCAACCAAAAATATTTTACTTGAATCAGTGGGTACACCCTGTCAAAGAGTTTGGCTACTAGAAAAATAAGGCAGCTACTTAATAACTGTCAGGAGATAATAAAAAGAAGAGAGGCAAGATATAAGAGGTAAAAAAAAAATCAGCTTTATGTTATTAGACTTAAATGTTCCTTACCAAAATATTTCAATCAATGAATCAACATTTATTAAGTTCCTACTATTTGCTACTTGTGTAGGCTAAGGGGAAACAAACAAAAAAACACAAAGCAGCACCCCATCTTCCCCCCTCCCCATCAAGAAATTTACCCTAATTCCACACACACATATATGTGGAAATATAAAATATCTCCAAAAAATTTCTGTGGAAGGAGGTAAAATTTAGCAGTGAGGTTCGTGGTGTAGGAAGCGTCATACAAGCTGACCTTGAAAGGGATCTAGGGATTTTAAGAAGCAAAGGCAGAGAAAAGAAAATAGAATGATGCAGAAAGAACAAATGGAAAAATTTGGCTAGAATGGAGAGTATGGGAAGGGGAGCATTGTAGAATACACCTAGAAAAAAACAAGTCTAGATCCAGACTGGAAGGGGCTTTAAATTCCAAACAGAAGAGTTAGTATTTTATCCTAGAGACAAGTGACTTCTTGAACAGGGAAGCAACATGATCAGACCTGGGCCTTAGGAAAATCATTTTGGCAGGTGCAAGATGAATTAGAGTGGGTTGAAGATAAGTGGGCCAGATGTAAAAGGCTTGAAGCAGGAAGCCAAATGGGAAGTTATTGTAACAGCCCAGGTAAGACGTAATTAAGTTCATGTCCTTGATTGGAGAGAAAGGGATAGATGTGGGAGCTAAGGATGACTGCAAATGGTAATACGGTTGACTGGAAGAATTGTGTTGTCTCCAAAAGAAAGAGAGAAGTTTGAGAATGGGGTGGATTTGGGGCAAAGATAAAGAGTTTGGGGGTTTTTTAATTTTTTTTTTGTTTTTTTAAAATTTTTTTAATTTTTTTTAAGAGTTTTGTTTTTGATATAATCAGTTTGAGATGACTATGCCCATTGAGGTATGTCCAAAAGGCAGTTGTATAAAAATATGTCTTTGTGCAATTTCCTAAGAGTTGAACATTTATTTGGTTGATACCTAACCCTTTGATTCAAATGCTTAAAATGCTTGTAGAGAAAGAAAAATACTTACTACAGAAATAACTGGGTTTTGTGTTATATAATAGAGATGCAAATCAACACTGCAGGATCTGCTGTTACCCTTCCCCCCCACTCCCCACCCCATCCTCAATAATCACATGTATCTATAGTGTAGGCATAGGGCTCAATGTGCTTATTTTAACACTACATTAAAATTTTTCTTTTTATTATTAGGAAATTATGAAAATCTGTGTACTCTGGTAGAACACAAAGCATTATTTAGTGACTGATAAAAATAGAAAGCCTAAAATCCTAGTCAGTCTTTTCTTTTGCTGAGGAAAAAACCTAATTTTTCCTATGATTCTTTAGATATATTTTCAAATCTAAACACAGTCATAAAATCTTAAGTCTTTGGAGCTGTTTAGAACTATTCAGTCTAACTCCTTCCTTCTAAGAGCTAAGCAAATTGAAGCCCAGAGAAGTTGTGATTTGTCTAGGACTTGATTATAACCAAGCACTATTTCTATCACACTATGCCACCACTGAAAAGTTGATTTTTAAATATTTTTGGACTTGAATGTTCTTTTTTATCTGTTATATTCCATCACTCCTAAAACACTTCCAAGGCATATATTCCATACACATTGCAACCTTACTAGCTGAGGATAGCTTTAAGCCAATTTTTACACTCTCCTCTTCCGCCCTCATTAACATCTTAATTCTTTTTCACTTTCTGCCATCAACGTGGTATTGTCTGCACACCTGAGATTGTTGATATTTCTCCTGACAACCTTAATTCCAGCTTTTGATTGATCCAGCCTGGCATTTTACATGAGGTACTCTGCATGTATGTTAAATAACTAAGGTGATAATATGCAGCCTTATCAAGCTCCTTTCCCAATCTTTTTTTTTTAAATTTTTAGGCAATTGGGGTTAAGTGATTTGCCCAGGGTCACACAGCTAGTAAGTGCCAAGTGTTTGGTCTGAGGCCGGATTTGAACTCAGGTCCTCCTGACTTCATGGCCGGTGCTCTATTCACTGCTCCACCTACCTGGCCCGTCCTTTCTCAATCTTAAACCAACTAGTGGTTCCACGTTCAGTTCTAATTGTTGATTCTTCATCTACATATGCATTCCTCAAGAGACAAGTACATTTATCTGGTACTCCCATTTTTTTTGAGTGCTTCCCACATTTTGTTGTGATTCACAAAGTCAAAGGTTTTAGTGTAGTCAATGAAGCAGAAGTAGATTTTTTTCCCATGGAACTCACTTGCTTTCTCCATAATCCAGTGAATGTTGGCAATTTGTTCTCTAGTTCCTCTGCCTTTTTGAAAACCAGCCTGCTCTTCTGGTAATTCTTGGTTCATATATTACTGAAACCTAGCTTGCACATCTTAAGGATAGCCTAGCTGGCACTGGCATGTGAAATGAGCACAACTGTTTGGCAATTTGTACATTTCTTGACATTGCCCTTCTTGAGGATTGGAATATAAACTGATCTTTCCCAATCCAGTGGCCACGATTGAGTTTTCCAAGTTTGCTAGCATATTGAGTGCAGCACTTTAACAGCATCATCTTTTAGGATATTAAGTATCTCAGCTGGAATTCTATAACCTTCACTAGACATTATTAGCAATGCTTCCTAAGGTTCACCTGACTTCATTTTCCAGGATATCTGGCTCTAGATCAGTAACCACATCTTTATGGTTAGTGATGTTAAGCTCTTTGTTGTACAATTCTTCTATATAGTCTTGCCACTTCTTTTAAATTTCTTCAAATTCTGTTAAGTCCTTACCATTTTTCTCTTTTATCATGCCCATTTTTGCATGAAATGTTCACCTGATAGCTCTGTTCCTTGAAGAGATCTCTTGTCTTTCCTATTCTATTGTTTTCTTCTATTTCTTTGCATTGCTCATTTAAGAAAACATTATCTGTTCTTGCTTTTCTCTGGAATTCTGCATTCAGTTGGGTATATCTTTCCCTTTCTCTTTTCCCTTTCCCTCTTTCCTTAGCTATTTGTAAAGCCTCATCAAACAGTGATTTTGATTTCTTACTCTTACTTACTTACTTTGTTTTTGCCTCCTATACAATACTGTGAACCTCTGTTCATAGTTCTTCAGGGGCTTTATCTACCAAATCTAATCCTTTAAATCTTTTCATCACCTCCACTTCATATTCATAAGGGACATTATTTAGTTCATACCTATATAGTCTGATGGTTTTCCCTCATTTATTTAATTTAAGCCTACATTTTAGAATAAGAAGCTCATGATCTGAGCCACAATCAGCTCCAGGTCTTGTTTCAGCTGACTGTATAGAGCTTCTCCATCTTTGGTTGCAAAGTAAATAATCAATGTGATTTCTATGTTGACCCTCTGGTGATATCCATATGTAGATTTGTCTTTTGGGTTATTGAAAAAGAATGTTTGCTATGACCAATGAGTTA